AGTCAAACATAGCTAGGTAAGAGCGGCGTCGATGTTTCAAATTGGGGTACAGAATCGACTGTGGTTGTATTTTTTTTCTCAGTTAATTATAAGAAATATGAGAACATTTCCAACATGGCAAATCCGTGTGGATATTTATAGGCGAAATTGGAAATAAGAGCTCGCCATGTCAGCATCTCTGTCTGTCCAGTCATATTTAACGATTACATCGTTAAAGAATTGGAAGGAAGCCTTGCGTCGTTGTAACGCAATGGTAAAGGGGTGGCTAAAAACCTCAATGACGAAGGAGCTACACAATAGCGTACATTTTGCTGCTACTGCTAGAGAAATATGGCTCGATTTGGAGGCTAGGTTTGGTCAAGAGAATGCTCCGCGTCTTTGCGAGTGAAGAGCACCATCATTAGTCTTCAGCAAGGAAAGACTTCGGTTTCGCAATTCTACACGAAACTGTGGGGCTACTGGGACGAGATGGAGTCACTCACGCCATCCCTTAAGTGTACTTGTTCTGGGTGTAGCTGCGACGTGAAGAAACGCCAACGTGAGGTCCGAGAGGGGGAGAGGCTACACCCTCCCAAGCGGTAGACTAGATGGCGTGTTCTCGACAGTGAAATCCCAAATTTTGGCCATGAACTATGTACCTCTCTCGCGGAAGCCTACAGCTTGGTCATCCAAGACGAGCAACAGAGGCAAATCACAAGCAGTCGTCGCCCACGTCTAGAGGTTGCCACTTTTCAGACTCAGGGGGAGCGCAAACCTAATCGTCATACTTCTGTCGGATCGTGATCTAGAACACAATCGTGATGCTGACGGGAAGCCTAGGTGTACTCACTACTGACGCACAGGGAACTTGCGGGACACTTGCTACCGCCTCATCGGTTTTCCCTAGAAGAATAATGATAACGGGGAGCAGGCTTCAGCCCGTCCTCAGTCTCGGCGGAGGAGTGATCAAGGTCAGCACCCAACACCTCAAGCGGCCCAAGTTGATGTTGAGGGTGTTTCTTTGCAAGGGCTGACTTCGAGGCAGCTTGAACAACTCAAGCTTTTGTTGAACAGTGACCTACGTCAATTTTCTCAATTCTCCATAGAGTCGAGCAAGAACATGGCAGGTACGTCTCTGTTAAATTCGACTTCATGGGTTATTGACTCATGCTGTAATGAAACACATCATTAACCAAGCTTCTTTGTGGGTTTCCGAGTTGGACTCGAGTCCGATGTTACAGGTTAAAATCCCAAATGGGACTGGTGTACGGTTTCATAGTATTGGGATGACTAAATTATCTGACGATCTGTTATTACGTCGAGTTCTTCATGTTCTGGATTTTCAATGCAACTTATTATCTGTCAGCAGACTCACGGCTGATCTCCCAGTGGCGTTAATTTTCTTGGGTGACTTCTTTGTTATTCAGGACTTACCATCCAAGAAGCTGATTGGGATGGGTAAGCACGTTGATGGCTTGTATTATTTGAGGCTATTTGAGCAGGAGCATCTAGTGGCGCATTCTGTTCCAAGGTCCCTAGATGATATAGAATTGTGGCACATGCCTCTTGGGCATCCTTCGAAGATGAAGTTGCAAGTTTTGGCAAACACTCTTGGTTGTTCTTTCATTCATAATAATGCTCCCTGTCGGTCTTGTTTACGGGCTAAATAAACTCGTGATTCTTTTGAGAATAGCATCATTAAGACTAAGTCATGTTTTGAACTTGTGCACGTTGACATTTGGGGGTTATAAAACAGCTTCCATGTCTGGGGCCCAATACTTCTTGACCATAGTTGATGACTTTAGTCGTGGTGTCTGGGTGTTTTTATTGCGCTATAAATCCTATGTTGCTCGTCACTTATTATACTTCTACAACATGGTCAGTACGCAGTTTGGAAAGCAGGTTCGCAGAATTCAGGCTGATAATGGCCCGGAGTTTTCTTATAATCTTCTCACGTGAATATTATGAGGAGAATGGTATTATTCTGCAGACGTCTTGCACCGAAACTCCTCAACAAGACGGAGTGGTTGAGCGCAAACATCGAAATTTGTTGGACACAACTCGAGCGTTGAGATTTCATGCGAATTTGCCACACAAATTTTGGGGTGAGTGTGTTTTGACAGTTGCTTACTTAATCAACAGGATGTCGTTAACTCCTATTGGATCTTTCCCCGTACGAGGCCTTTTCGGGAAAGCACCTAAGTGTACCCATCTCTAGTGCTATGGATGTCTAGTTTATGCACGCGACACTCATCAACAGTTACACAAGTTTGGTTCTCATGGACGAGCAGGTATTTTCCTTGGATATCCGGCCACTTAGCGCGAGTATCACGTACATGATCTGGAGACTCCGATTATCTACACTTCAGGTGACGTCCGATTTCTTGAGCAAGTTTTTCCCTATCACAACTTGGATGCAGGTTGCTCTCCCACGCCTGATTCAGTTTCGGCGCCCAACTATGGAGTTCCTATTGGGCCATTTCATGATGATGAGGATGAACTGGTAGTGTCATCATCACCCCCTGCCGATTCTTCTACGGCCGCTGCACCTTCCTAGCCATCGACCGACAACTCAACTGCGGCATCAGCTAACAATGATGAGACTGCTGGCGAGGAATCTCCTTCTCTGCTTTTTCCCAGCGTTCCCGCTGCTACTCCCAGCATCAGTCTGCCTCCCTCCTCGGATCCTTTTCCTATCCGCAAAAGTGATCGGGTCCGAATGCCATCTAATCAACTGCAAGGCTATACTATGAGCTGCTGGGAGCTGCGCATTCAGCTACAATGAGGTATCCTCTTGATGATTACGTCTCATATCATCTCCTCTTAGTCGCGCACCATGCTTATGTTGTTGCGGTGAGTGTTGTCTTTGAGCCCCAATATTTCTTTCAAGTTGTTCGTTACCGGCATTGGCGTGAGGCAATGCACAAGGAATTTGACGCTTTGGTTGAAAATGGCACATGTACTATCGTTTTCTTGCCTCCTGGTAAGAAAGCCATTGAGTCCAAATGGGTTTATAAAGTGAAGTTTAATCCCAACGAAACTGTCGAGCGCTACAAAGCGCGTCTGGTTGCAAAAGGTTATACGTAGATTGAAGGTGTGGATTTTCACGACACATTTGCCCCCATCGTGAAACTGGTTACAGTTCGCTGCCTTCTTGCAGTTGTTTTTACTCGTGGCTGGCACATTCATCAATTGGATGTGAATAACGCTTTTCTTCACGGTGATCTTGAAGAAGAGGTTTATATGTAGATTCCTCAAGGTTTTGCTCGTCCGGGTGAAACTCGAGTTTGTCGGTTACGTAAGTCTATTTATGGTTTGCGTCAGGTTTCGAGAAATTGGTACCAGAAGTTCACTCAGGCCCTTCTGGACCTTGGTTTTACGCAAAGTCGCGCCGATCATGCTCTTTTACTTACCGGCGTGGTGCCATCTTTGTGGTTGCACTCTTTTATGTAAATGATGTGATTCTCTCTGGCACGGACTTGGATTTCATTACTCAGGTGAAGCAGTCTCTGCATGAGAAATTCACAATCAAGGATCTGGGACCTCTCAAATATTTTCTGGGAATTGAGGTTGCTCGTTCCCCCCGTGATATTGTGCTAAATCAGCGCAAGTATGTATTTGATATTCTTGCTAATGCAGGTCTCGAAGCTGCCAAGCCTTGTCTCACTCCCATCGAGCAACAACATCATCTAGGCTGTACTTTTTGCCTCCTACTACGAACCCTGGTGCCTATCGTCGTCTAGTCGGGCGTCTCCTCTATCTCACTGTCACTCGACCCGACATTACTTATGTTGTTAACCTCCTCAGTCAGGCAATGCAATCGCCTACTAGGGCACATGAAGAGGCAGTTGTGCGTCTTCTTGGGTATCTCAAGTCTGCCCCGGGACGTGGTCTATTCTTTTCCTCTTCTGCTCCTCTCACCTTAACGGCATACTGTGATTCGGATTGGGGAGGTTTTCCTTTGACTCGTCGCTCCACTACAGGCTATGTAGTGATGCTTGGGTCTTCACCCATCTCCTAGCACACGAAGAAGCAAACCGTGGTTGCGCGTTCTTTGGCAGAGGCCGAATACCAGGCGATGGCAAATACTGCGAGTGAAGTTATTTGGCTTCGTTGGCTTCTTCATGATCTTGATGTGGTTTCTTCAGGACCTACTCCTCTGTTCTGTGATAATCAGGCAACTTCACATTGCTGCCAACCCCGGTCTTTCATGAGAGGACTAAACATGTTGAGATGGACTGTCACTTTGTCCGTGAACGTGTTCAGTCTCTCGAGATTGCCTCAGCCAAGATTGCCACCGCCGCCCATCCTACGGATCTCTTTACGAAGGGATTGAGTGTTGATCAGTTTCATCATCTCTTCGGCAAGCTTGAACTTCTTGATATTCACTCCTTAGCTTGAGGGGGAGTGTTGAGTATAGGGATCATTTTGTTATTTGTCTAGTTGGACGGTCTTAGTTATTTGTCTTCTCCTTGTTGCTTACGTAGAAGGAGAAGCACCTGTATATATTGGTTGGATAAGGGTTAGCTGAAACCCTAAGAACACAATAAAAAAAACAGCAGTACCCGGAGAGCTTTCAAGCTCTCCTTCCCGTGGACTAGTCCCGTTCTCACCGAACGGGGAAACCACGTAAATCTGATCTCGTTTACTTCTGCTTTCGTACATTGGATTTTTACATGGTATATCTCCAAAATTGGCTATTATTGTCACAAACGTGAAAATTTTGACTATACAAGTGTATTTTGCCTAGTTTGTATCACATCAGGCAAACAATGTATGTATTGTTGTGCAAAAAATTAAAAAAACAATATATTTGTGAACAATTTTGACTAAACAATTTATGCAATGTATGTATTGTTGTGATAATAATTAATAACAACATGCTTTTTAAATTTCTTTCAGAAAACATGCTTTTTTAATTATTATTTTCAGATGAACCAAGATTTTTTTGGCATTTTGCTTAGATTTGGATGTGGCAATCAAAAGACGTAAAGTAAAGCAAGGAAAAACAAAAAATTGCAGCGCGAGTCTGTTATCACAACAGATACACACTCTCTCTCTCTCTCTCTCTCTCTGGTTCTCTTTACATTTCCAGATGAAGAAGGAAGAAGCACAAAGATCAAAATTCAAAACCCCTCGAGATTTCGCTCCCATCTCTCACTGTTTCTCTGTAACCACGCCAGCCCATTTCTTTTTATAATACACTCTGCCCCCAAGAACTCAGAAATCCAAGAAATCAGCGAATCTCGAGACACAAAGTTCTGTTTCTTAATTGTCCCTCTCACTCCTATTGGTTGATGACGGTTTCCGTTTCAGTTTTCACTCAGGGTCTCCAAGTTCCGTTGACTTCCCAGGTGATTTCTCCGTTTCCTCTGTGAATCTCGGGAGGAATTTGCATTTCGGGGTGAGCTCTATCACTGGGTAGTGACGATTCGATTTCGATGCTTTCCTGAGGGGTTTTCCTTTTCCTTTCCGTTGATCAGTAGGGTTTCAATGGTCTGGCGAATCTAATTGAGAGGGGCGATGAGTTGAAAAAACGATAGAGTGAAAGTGGGGGAAACTCGGAAGATGGTGCTGTTGTTCAAATCGAGGATAAAATGGATAGTTCTAGTGGTCTTGATGCTATCGACTGGATCCCTAATCGTTCACTTCTCCATTACCAAGTTCTCCACCACTAATTTGATTCAGTACACTGCCGTCCCTGCTCTCAGCTTCGATTTGCCTACCGCTTCCCCTGGATCAAAGGTCCTCCCTTTTTGTTTGAACTCCCTGACTTTCACATTGCTCTGCATTGCAATTGCATGTGCTGTGTGCAGTAGTTTTGTTCATAGTTTGATTTGGGGGTTTCCCCTTTTTGGGTGGTGTTTGTTGCAGAGAGTTATACCAGCTAGAAACAAGAAATTGTGGGGTCCTGTTAAGGCCTTGGAGTCGTTGCAGCCTTATGCTAACCCGAGAACAATTTACCCTGGTAATATCTTTTGCTCTGGCTCGCTCAGTTTATGTTTGAGCTACTTCGTGCTTTACTGTCAAATGTTAATTCGGATTTGGTTTGAGGGATTGGCCGAACTACTTCTATCAGCTTCTTGTTCTTAGGCACTGCTCTAGCTCAAATGTTTGAATCAGTTGTTTAACTTAATTGCTTCGCATGACAATACTTTGTTTGGTATAGACAGTTGTTATAAATATACCGACAAGAATGTTAGTTCTGGGAACGATGTCGCTGGTGGCATTACTCTATGGCTCTTGGATCTATTTCATTGGATTACTGATACCTAATTGTTTTTCATTTGCAGTACCAAGTGAGAAGAGCAATGGTTATATATATGCAAAGGTTTATGGTGGCTTTTCAAATATAAGATCTTCGGTATGATTCATATGATGATTATTGCAGGCCTTATGTTAAGAAAGTTAATTTTCTTTTGAAGTTCATAACTTTTCTCTCAATTTTCTAGATATGTGATCTTGTCACCATATCCAGGCTTCTAAATGCTACTCTTGTCATTCCAGAGATTCAAGATAGTCTCCGCTCCAAAGGCATTAGGTATTATTGTTGTATCTGATTCATGCTGTCATCATCAATTCCCCCATGCTAGAAAAGCTTGTCTTCCGTCATTCCTTATCAATTTTTATTTACTGTTCTTCTGACAGTTCCAAGTTCAAGAGTTTTTCTTATCTCTATGATGAGGACCAGTTCATAGCTTCACTGAAAAATGATGTGAGAATTGTGAAGACCTTGCCTGAGAATTTGAAGACGGCGAGAAAGAGGAATGAGTTTCCTATCTTTAAGCCCAAAAGTTCTGCTACTCCAAGTTTCTATATCAAAGAAATTTTGCCTAAATTGAAGAAATCGAAGGTTGTTGGTCTGATTCTTGCTGATGGGGGCTGTATGCAGGTAGTTACACTCTTGGCATTCAGTTGTTTAGAGAAAAAGAACCTTCTGTCTGCCATCTGCTGTGTACAACTCTAGTACTGAGATTGATTGGTCTTCTTTATTTTTATATATCTGTCTTCCTGGTTAACTAATTACGAATTCTTTAGTTACACTTTGGTAATGTTTGGATGCTTGCTTAGTGGTAACCGTGGACGCCTGTTATTGTCAAGGGACATCTTGAAAGATTTGAAGCTCGTTACTGTTTGATTGATTATGCAACGGAGAAAAATGGATTGCTCTTTGTGTGTTGATTCTTTATTTGCAATTGACCTTTGTTCAGTCAGTTCTTCCCCCCAGTATGGGTGAGTTCCAGCGACTGAGATGCAGAGTCGCCTTTCATGCTCTTCAATTTCGCCAAGAACTCCAAGTTCTTGGACGTCGTATTGTTGACAGGTATAGTGATTTTTCCTCTACCAGCTAAAGTCATCAGTGTGGCAAATGAAAAACTTAATACATTTTGTGCAATGTGATTTTAAATTACTAAGAGAAATTTTTTCTAGAAATTGTTTAAATGCTGAGCATGAGTTCATGGCTTGAATAGTACAGTCTGCAAATGCAATCATTGTCCAGATAGATATAAAGAAAACAAAAAGGAACCTTTCCGTATGCCATTTTATGTTTGGGACCTTTAATTCCTTGGTAGATTAAGAAAAAGTATTCGCAGTTCTTTTTTTGGATAAGCTTGTTGGTCTCTTTCCCGCAGATTGCAAGGTTTGGATCAGCCTTACATCGCATATCATCCTGGCTTGATGAGGGATACCCTGGCTCATCATGGTTGTGCAGAACTTTTCCAGGCTAGTTGTTCTTCTAAGCTACCTTGCCATCTGGTGTTTCCTCTTTTGGCTATATGGTTTACTGGTTTGGAATAGTAACATTCACAGGCAGTGTTCCCTGTTTCACAGCAGGTAGATTTGTTACTCGACATAATGAATCTTTCTCGACTTTTATTCATTTTCTTTATTGGACTGTTCACACATTATAGGATGTGCACACTGAACTTATACAATATAGAAGGGCACAGCTGATCAAGAGAGGGGTGGTTACTGACAAATTAAGTGTTGACTCTCACATACGTAGAGACAACGGCTCATGCCCACTTATGCCAGAAGAGGTAATTAATTGGTTTTAAATGTTCCAATTATCTAGATTGGTTGCTAATTGTTTGGCTAAAACTTGCCATAAAAAGACTTATCAGGATACATGTTAAAAGTTTTTGCATATTACAGATCTACTCGGTATAGTTTCTTGCCTCTGAAGGATTACTTGATCTGTCATAAACATTTTTTAGGAGACTATTTGTTTTTCAATATCAATAATTTTTTTTCTTCTCTGTTCTTTAAAGTGTGGATGAAGGGTCGGCTCTTTTACGTTTCTCTATGCTTTATCTTGTACAAGTGTCCTTATCTGTATTCACTTATTTGTCCTTTGTAACCTCTGTAGGTTGGACTTCTTCTCCGAGCAATGGGCTATCGTGCTAATACAATTATATATATGGCTGGGTCTGAAACGTTTGGTGGCCAACGTCTTCTAATTCCTCTGCGCGCAATGTTTGCAAACTTGGTGGACTATACTTCATTTTGCAGCAAGCAAGAGTTGATTGATTTGCTTGGTCCCGAACCTCTATTGCCTCCAAATCCGTTTAAACTACCTCCTGGTAAAAGTGATGAACAACTTAAAGAAGAGTGGAAAAGAGCAGGTCCTAGGCCTCGGCCTTTGCCTCCACCTCCAGAGAGGCCTATCTATCAGCATGAAAAGGAAGGTTGGTATGGTTGGATAACCGAAACAGACACTGAACCAGATCCTTCACCTGCAGATCTTAGGATGCAAGCTCACAGGCTGCTTTGGGATGCTCTTGATTACATTGTATCTTTGGAAGCTGATGTCTTTTTCCCTGGTTTCAACAATGATGGTAGTGGATGGCCTGATTTCTCAAGCCTTGTCATGGGGCAGCGGCTTTACAAGAAGGCTTCCTCTAGAACATTTCGACCAGATAGGTAAGCAAGCCACAATCCTTGGGAGCATTTGTAATGTCTCCACATTCTTAGTCAAATGTTCTCTCTTGATGTCGTGTGAAAAGAGGCAAGACATTTGAGTGCTTGTTTTTACTTTTGCTCTCTTGGCTGAATTTCATTCTTTGGTTCCTTATCTTCTTCATTTGATAAATACTGCTTAATAGCAGTGGCTATTACTAACAGCTTATGTAATTATCCTCGCACAGGAAAACTATCCAGGAATCTTTCAAATCTATTCGAGACGACATGTACCATCCTAAGTTCAACTGGACCATTTCAATTAGGGAACATCTAAACAAAAGCTTTGGTGAAGATGGGTTTGCCTGGCAGTCTCTTAAGTCGAAACCTGCTTCATTCCTTTCCCACCCATTCCCAGAATGCTCTTGTAGAATGCCACCATCAGCTGCTGCTGCTGAGGTCCCAACCATACTGAAGAAAGATGAGGATGAGTGTCCTAAATGGATGATGCAGAACAACAATCAGGATGGATCTTCTGAGGCTGTGGCTGGAGAAGGAGCGGCTTCCAATGAAGATACCGAGTTGGAGTATGAAAATGAGACGAAGGAAGCACAAGATGATTCAGATGCTAGTAGCAAGAGTAGTCTAACTCTAGCTATTAACCAAGATGATGAATGGGATCCCAATGACTAGAAAGTGGAAACAGCAGGATACTCTGTTCTTTGATTTTTTTGAAGGTGATGGTGGTCAGTGCTCGGTAGTCACTATCCGGCAGCAGAATCCATTCTGGAATGAGAATTTTGAGAACACACAGAGCTATTAGCTATATATACGCGAAAGGGTCTCTTTTTTGGGTTTGTTCTCTTTTGTCTTGCAGAGAATAAGTATTCATTTTTTGCTTTTGTTTTCTGTAAGTAGATTGAAGTAAAGGAAATACAGAGCCCTAGTTCTAGTCACAGGAGCAGAAGAGAAAGAACAAAAGAAATTCTTGTACACCATTAATATAGAAAAGAGTTCTTGCACATTACAGATCATGGACATATTTTGATTCTTATGATTTCTATATACGGTGCTTTACCTTATTCCTTGCAAAACTGCTACATCTCTCGTCTGGGTCGGAACCGGGAAGGGTGAGGCAGAGGAAAGGAAGGGACAAGGGAGTGTTTGAGCAGGTTAAGGCAATCGACCCAAATCAAAACTATTATAGCTATGTACAGTACTTTTGGCGAATTCCAATAGCAAATGCTTAAAACGATGGTACCGTCAAGCCACAGCATAATTGTTAGTATAAGATCCAGCAGAACCTTCTCCCAACAACTCTTTGTTGGGATCAACTGGTTCATGACATGGTATCAGAGCTGGTTTGGCCAAGTGGTCGTGTGTTCGAATCTCCACAACCCCCAATATTAACCTTTGTTAAAGCACAAGGTATGGTGGGCCTGTGCAAACTTCAAGCCCGTGAGTTGGCTTTCAGTGCCAGACACCATGGATTGGAGAACCAAAGGAGCTGTGAATGGGAGGCTAAGAATGCGGTGGGGAATTCGGGTGGGATAGCGGTTTTCTGGGATCAGTCGTTTGTCCGTGCTATCATCCGATTTGTATTGCTAGCGACTTCAATCTTGTTCGCAGTCATGAAGATTACAGCTGTCTCTCCTAGGATGGGGGATTTCTCTCTTAGTACTGACTTTCAGGAGGTTTCTTCTTTGAAGTTGTGGTCCCTGGTTGTTGTGTACGGACCTAAGGAGAGGGAAGAGAAGCTGCAGTTTATCAGAGAAATTCATGATGTTTGTCAGGCTGCTGATCATCCGATTTGTATTGCTGGCGACTTCAATCTTGTTCGCAGTCATGAAGATTACAGCTGTCTCTCCTAGGATGGGGGATTTCTCTCTTAGTATTGACTTTCAGGAGGTTTCTTCTTTGAAGTTGTGGTCCCTGGTTGTTGTGTACGGACCTAAGGAGAGGGAAGAGAAGCTGCAGTTTATCAGAGAAATTCATGATGTTTGTCAGGCTGCTGATCATCCGATTTGTATTGCTGGCGACTTCAATCTTGTTCGCAGTCATGAAGATTACAGGGGGACGAGACGAAATATGAATTTGATGGCGGAATTCAATGAGAGTGTATCGACAGTGGCGCCTTGCTCGAGCTCCCCCTGGGCGGGAGTAGCTTCACTTGGAGCAGAGGGGATGGTTCTAATTCTCTGTCCCGCATTGATAGAGCTTTCGTCAACCCTCCGTTTGATAGTCTCTTTCCTGAGTGTAGTTTGACTGCTTTGGAGCGGGTGGAATCGGATCATAATCCGTTACTGATTAAGTGGGGTGATTCTAGGAGGATTAGGAGGCCATGGAATTTTGAGAATAGTTGGCTCGAGGACGAGAGGTTTTATGTGGCTATTGAAGGTTGGCTTCGGGTGCCGATGAGTGGTCGTGGGTGTGCTTTTCTTTGGGCGATGAGACTGCAAGATTTGAAGTCGAAAATCAAGGAGTGGAACAAGAATGTTTTTGGCAACATAGACAGGCAGATTGACACCACCCTAGCGAACATCAATAGGATTGATTTGATCGAGGATTCCAGGGTTCTCACTGTTTCACAACAAGGTGACAGGGATGAGTTCAAAGTCAACCTCAGCAGGCTACTTCATTTTCAAGAAATCTCCTGGAGACAGAAGTCAAGAGAGGTATGGTTGAAGGGCGGAGATAGCAACACAGGGTTCTTTCACAGAATGGCAAACTATAAGAGAAAGCTGAATTTGATTGAATGTATTAAGATTAATGGGCTGAGATTTGAAGGCAGGGATGAGCTGGGTAGTGGGGTTGTCGAATACTATACCAACCTTTTCAAAGAGTCTTTGTGCCGAAGGCCTTTTCCAGGGAACTATGATGTGAGCAAGCTTAACAGTGATGATTATGAAGCTCTCACTCAGGCTTTCATCGAACAAGAAATTCTGGCTGCTTTATCTGACTGTGATGGTTGCAAAGCACCGGGCCCGGACGGTTTTTCTTGAGAGTTTTACAGGAAGTGTTGGCCGCTCATTCGGGAGGAAGTTATTAATGTACTTGGCGAGTTCCATCGAACAGGCTCCCTTCCGAGGTGCGTGACTCATTCTTTCATCTGCCTTCTTCCGAAAAGGGATGTCGTGGAGGACATCAAAGATCTTCGGGCGATTAGTTTGATGGGGAGCATGAATAAATTGATTAGCAAGATTTTGGCTAGAAGACTCAGCATGGTTCTCCCTAAGCTTGTTTCTGTCAATCAACATGCTTCAGTTAAGGGTAGGCAAATCTCTGAAGCGGGGCTGATTGCTTTTGAACTTCTTGATAGCCGTAAGAGAAGCAGAAAGCCGGGTCTGTTGTTTAAGCTTGACATCGAGAAGGCATTTGACAACGTGAGTTGGGGCTGCCTTCTCAAGGCCTTGTCTGTGTTGGGTTTTCCTCAGAAATGGCAGTCGTGGATTCGTGGGGTCATGTGCTCCCCGGCTATCTCGATTTTGATCAACGGTGAAGCGAAAGGGTTCTTCAACTCGCAGAAGGGGCTCAGGCAAGGTGATCCGCTCTCGCCTGGTCTTTTTACGCTCATCATGGATGTGCTTTCCTTTATGTTGGATAAGATGCGCTTGGCTGGTTTCATCCATGGTTTCTGTATGGATGAGACTAAGAGGGTGGGAGAAGTGACTCATCTTCTTTTTGCTGACGACACGTTAATTTTTTGTGAAGCTTCCTACGATTAGGTTTTGAACATTCTTGCGACCCTGGTCTGTTTTCAAGCCGTTACAGGTCTCAAAATAAACCTCGAGAAATCAGTAATGATAACTATCGGCGATGTTCCGAATCCGGATTTCTTCGCCGCTGTTTTCGGTTGCAAGTGGAGCAAAGAGCCGTCAAGTTATCTCGGGTTCCCTCTTGGTGCTAAAGTCAATGCAGTTTCGACTTGGGACCCGATTATTAGCAAATTTCAGAAGCGGCTCGAGAAGTGGAGAGGTCGCTACTTATCTCTTGGTGGGAGATTGGTTCTTAATAAGGCTGTTTTGTCCGGGCAGCCGGTATATTCGTTCTCCCTTCTTCGTGCTCCCGCAGCGGTGGTCAATAGGATTGAGAGTATTCAGAGAAGGTTTGTGTGGAGCGGTACAGGAGACAAGGCTAAAAGTCCCTTGGTTAGCTGGGATTTGTGTAAAGCTTCTAAGTCCAATGGAGGTCTGGGGATTAGAGACGTCGGTTGTTTCAATGAGGCCCTGCTTTCGAAATGGTTGTGGAAATTTGCTGTCGAAAGAGGAAGTTGGTGGAGAGAATTGATTGCAGTTAAATATCCTTCGGGAGTTTCGAGTTGGCAGAGCCAGCGTTGTCGGGCTGGGTTTGGTGGATCAGTTTGGGCGAATATTACGAAGGGATATAATAGCTTTTGGGAAGCGGCTCACGTCGATCCCGGAGGTGGTGCGTGGGTGTCTTTTTGGAAGGATTGCTGGATCCCCAACTTAGTTCTTGCAGACGCCTTCCCCAGAGTCGCTGCCGCTGCCGCTTCTCCCAACGCCTGGATCTCCGACATTGCGACTCCTTCAGGTGAGGGTATTGCTTGGAACTTGAATCTTAATGTGTCCTTAAGGGGTGGGGCGGAGAGGGAGCGTTTGAATCTTTTGAGAGTCCTTTGTTCTGTTGACAGTCGCCGGGTTTCGTGTGGACCGAGCAGACTTGTTTGGACCCCGCAACCCGAGTCGACGTTCTCTGTTTGTTCTATGTATTGGTTCCTGACCAGCAGCAGATTCCCGGGGGTGGCCTCGTTCCCAGCCGAGTTCATCTGGCGAAGCTTCATCCCGAGCAAGATCTGTGCTTTCGTTTGGCTGACGTTGGACAATCTGCAGAGAAGAGGGTTGTTGCTGGCTAACAGGTGTGTTCTTTGCGGCATTCAAGAGGAGTCGGTTGACCATTTGTTCATTCATTGCGCTTTCACTAGAAGTATTTGGACGGATGTCGCTATGGCGTGCCGAGGATTTAGTCTTCCGAGCGGTGATGTTGCTGTCACTATAGACGACTGGAATATGGCTTGTCCGAACAACATCAACGAGTGGATTGTTGCCTGCAGTTTCCATGGTGTGTGCTGGCAGGTCTGGCTCGAGCGAAACCAACGAACCTTCAACGACATCAATCATAGTTCCAACTATGTGTTCCGAAGAGCAATAAGGTGGGCGGTCGAGTGGGTTGTTGCCCATGGGAAAGTCAGTAAAACGCAGGGGGTGGAGTGGATTTCTGAGCATCTCAGGCCTCGGATTAATTAGTTGATTATGTTGCTGTTTTTCCTGATCTTGTTGAGCCCGAGCTCTCTAGTGGAATTGGCTGGTTTTCTTTGTGTGGGGGTGTGGATCGCGCCTTGCAGGGTTTCTTATTCTGACCCCAGTTGGAAGGTTTCTTGGAGTCTGGTTTCGGCTGTTGGGTGTTGGGTGGCCGTTTGGTGCTTTTGTCCTGGTTGTCTGACGGCTTCTTCTCGCTGTCCGCTGTCCCTTTTGGTCTTCTTGTTTCCTTTTGGTGCACAACGGTGGTCTGGTCCACCTAGTGCTTGTTGTTCGCTGCTTTGTTTAGTTGTGTACTTTGGTCTAGGATCAGTGCTCGTGATCCTAGTTCCTCCCCTGTACTTTGCTTTTTGTTTTATTAATTCAATCATCACCCTTATCAAAAAAAGATCAAGGTCAATGTGGTAAGCCTCACAATAAACATAAAGTTCAAATCTTTTCTTTTGCAATTTTCCCTTTCGTCCATGTCACACCTTTCTTTAATGATTTTGTGCCTGCCAAAATCTACCTGTAGGAGGGTGCTGGGCTTTCTCTGCAGTGGCAGCAGTGGAAGGAATCACAAAGATCTCAACCGGAAAGTTGGTATCTCTGTCTGAGCAAGAATTGATTGATTGTGACACATCCGGTAATGACCAAGGCTGCAACGGAGGACTAATGGATGGTGCTTTTCAGTTTGTAAAGGCCAAGGGACTCACCACCGAATCCAATTACCCTTACACAGCTGCGGATGGAACTTGCAGCACA